TTATTTTAAATCTGATTCAATTAATTGCTTCCAATGTTTGAACCCTTGCTGAAGCTCAGATTCCACTTGACTCGTGTCCCCTGTTCTTTCTGTGTGCTCAGGACTGCTCAGCTGATTGTTTCACCTATTCTTCACCAAAACTTTTTTCTTCAATGTGTTTTTTCAACGTTAGCAGGAACAATTTTCCGTACACTTAGTTATGCTGATTAGTTCTAAAGGAGGTACAAGTTTGTCTCAAATTTTGTACAGTGGCATCATGGTTAATTATTTGGTTTGCAATTTGCCATGATTAATCCCTCTAATATTTTATCCAACATTTGGATTAGTAAAGAACAGCATATTACTGGCACAATTTTATACAACTTGGAAATGTTTGGTATGCAGGATCGGTGTGCCATCTGTCATGTTGATTGCTCTTTGTTTTCAACAGGATAATTATGCCAGTATAGTATAACCCCAAATTTTCCTTTCAGCTGACCTTTACCATGGTGGTGTATATATTTCTTTGAGGATGCTAATTGAGTGTTCAGTTGTATCTGCAATTTCTACTTTCAGGAATAAGTTAGACAGCAGCATTTGGAGCAAATTCCAATTGGCAAGTGGTCCTTAGCTACCAATTTCCACTTTGCATAAGACACTTTTGAAACACAGTCTGTCTATAGAGGTAGACACTCTTAAAATTAACTTCTGAGTCTGTTGTTCAAAAATATCCTTCAGTACATCCAATCTTAAAATATTTTGCTTCATTCTGTATTAGTAAGTCAAATTTAAGTGTTCTTCTCCTTTAAGTGTAATCTCTAATCCAATCTTAAAATATTTTGCTTCATTCTGTATTAGTAAGTCAAATTTAAGTGTTCTTCTCCTTTAAGTGTAATCTCTAATCCAATCTTAAAATATTTTGCTTCATTCTGTATTAGTAAGTCAAATTTAAGTGTTCTTCTCCTTTAAGTGTAATCTCTAATCCAATCTTAAAATATTTTGCTTCATTCTGTATTAGTAAGTCAAATTTAAGTGTTCTTCTCCTTTAAGTGTAATCTCTAGTTCCTTCTGGTTCCCTCTAGTGTCCAACCTTCAAAGTCCCATCCTATCATGTTTTGTTTTGTTTTTTAAGAGAATTCAAAGGAAAAGCATTTTCCCACAGGAAGGATTCTTATAATTAATTCCAAAATCTTATTTCAAATTCATCTGGACACTTAGTTTGTAATTTTCCAAAATCACCATTCACAGTTTGAGCAAGATGTTTATTCCTTCATCTCCAAGAACTGTAAGCCCACCAAAGACAGCTGTCATGCAGTCTCCTTGTGAGGAGCAACTATATGGAGCACTTGTGGGCGATCTCAAGTCCTATCCTTGTCTGGAGAGGAATTACGAAGAGCTGGTCTACTCACCGGCTCTTGATTCCGCAGCAGTCTTCAGTTCACCATTTCTTTCCCAGAACCTGCATAAGACACTTTTAAAGGTATATGCCAAGGGAAAGAAAGGATCCTGGTGCAGCCTTAAGTGTTTGGAATTCTAACTTCTGCCTTAGCCACACGGCAGATGGCAAGGGTTTATGACAACTATGTACCATAACATCTGAACAGCACTACATTGCTCTTCTATGACGTACACCTATGACATTTTAAATATGTGTAAAATGTGAATGCAGTGCATATGTTTGTACACTTGTCTAGGAGCTGTGGCTGGTTACAGCTCTTGTTGAACATACACTCAGCTGCAAATCCAACCTTGCAACTGGGTCATGAGAAAATAATGAGGAGTGGTCTGAAATATCTACCTCTGTCCACCTGGATTCCAGAAATATTAACTGAACACATATTTGTATATTTGCAGATATAAAGTTCAGTGAACATTCCACTTTGAAATGAACTGTACTAAAGGATTTCATATCAGTTTCTATACTGCAGCTCCCCCCCCCCTTATTCTGTAATACAGAAGTTATCCAGGGACCATATTTCTCAATGTTCGTGTGCACTTGTTTTGTTTTGAAAAATAACATTTATAAAAACGTGTCTCAGTCAATTTTATTTACTTATTTACTTACCAATTTTTTAAACTGTCCAGTCATACAATTCCGAGTATTGTGTAAAGCAAACTTCTTGGTGTTATAAAGTGAAAAAACAAAAACCTAAATTGATATAAAACTGCAGTATGCTCTGTATTGGGCTGTCATTGAAGATGACTCAGAAACTACAGCAAGTTTAAAACGCAGAGTGTAGAGCGCTACCCGGTCAACCCAGCTAGTGCTAATTTGACATTGCTATACCAGTGGGCTTCTGGAACCAATTCAAAGTGACGGTCACTTTTAAACCTATACTGCAGTGTGTCAGGTTACATTAGGAAATGCCTCAGCAGAACAGAACCTGCCTGCCTGGTTCATTTCAACAGGACCTGCTGAGGGTCCCCACCCCACCTTTTTTGATGTGATGGGCTACGGACAAGACTGCAGACCCTTCCAGTAGTGGCCCCTGCATGGCTTTTCATAAACAAGTTAATATGCATATAGTTCATTGTCCTTTGAGCTAAGCTGAATGGGGACAGATGATAGCGATGATGATTTTAAGTGTGTTATAATTTTGTGGTTCAGTGCCCAGAGTCCATTGGAAGTAGAATGGCCCAAAAATGCCATAAGATAAAAGGGGAAGATTAGGCAGAAGCTCTAAAAAAAAAAAATGGCTGGGTCCAGGGTAGGCTTCTTCAAGAGAGGGTGTAGTGCCACCTCCTTCAAAGCAGGCAGCATTAGCTCCTCCCAAGAAGCATTGACAATCTCCTGGATCCAGCAGCCTGAAGGAGTGTAAATGAAGCATACAGGTGGTGTTCATATCACGGAGAATCCTATCCACCCTCAGGTGATAATTTTACAGGACTCTGTCTTGCTCACCATTGTGGACTCTGCCCAAATGATGTGGGAGTGAATAGGAACCATTTAACGCATAAAAAAATCCACACATCCAGCATGCCGGCAGATACTTTGTCTTGCCCATCTTTCTCCAAAACGGTCCAGGTAACTCTGAACAGGGTTGCTGGGTGGGAATCTGCAGACACAGTAAGCACAAATAATTGACACTTTGCTGCTCCTACCACCACCAGGTAGGCTCAGACTTAATACTGCCTGGTTTAGTACCATTTACTAAAAATGGTCAAA